AAAAAAAAAAAAAAAAAAAAAAAAAAAAAAAAAAAAAAAAAAAAAAAAAAAAAAAAAAAAAAAAAAAAAAAAAGTGGGGAAAAACCAATTTCTTAAAGTAATTAATTAAAAAAAAGCCCCCAAGTTTTAAGTTTCTCACTTTATGCCCATTTTTTTGGTGCAACACATATTTCTAGAATTAATTCTATTATTGTTTTAGGAATAATTTTTTTTACTATTTTTTGAACAACTTATTAGGTTGTATATTAAAAGGTCAAAGATTCGAATCTCTCGAATTTTACAATTGGTTGAATTCAAATTTGTTGGGTTTGTGCCTCAATCTAACTAGCTCCATGAAAGTTCGAAGTGACGAGATCTTATATGATTGAGTTTGGATAGGTAAAGTGTTTTCGCTCTTTCCCGTCGTCAACTAGATAAAACATTTTCGAGTCGGGTTGTTTAGATTCAAGTGTTGTTTTGATGAAGAAGGGCACACGTACCTAAACCCAACCCACTAAGTGGGCATCAAGCTTTTGACCCAAAAGAGGATTAAGGGGAAGTGCAAGCCCATTTGGTTCATCAAAGTTGTTGTAAAAGCAAAGGCCCACATGGATCATGGACAGCAATCAAGCGTTTTCTTTCAAATTAGTGGCATACAGAGAAGAGAATAACAATGGCTATAAGTCAAGGGGGAATAGTAATAAAACTTTAAAGCATCCATTAAAACCATATAATTAAGCTTCTATGATATTTAGAGGAAAAAAAAGTTTTTTTTAAATGACCAATTTACCCTTATAAAAAGTACAAAATAATAATTTTAAATTTTAAAAAAATAATAAAGTAGATGTATGTATGTATAATTGTACTGTTCGAAAAAATGTGGTTTGGTTCAACTCAATCTAGTTCTAGAGGAAAATGCATAAATTTTTTATTTATTTGAATCCGACCCAGGCTAAATAAGTTTATAACTCAACCCAACTTGTACGAGTTGGACTGAGTTGATCGAATCTTTTGAACACACTTAACTCGAAAAAAAAAAATCAAACTTTTTTATTCTATCATGAAAGAGATGGGAATAGAAGGCTTTTGAGTTGGATAAGGAACATATATTGGGTGCTCTCTATCAATGGCTTCCACTAGAAGTGTGGTAGCATGAAAGAATACTTAAGTGCTTCCCAAAACTTCTTATTTTCACACTTCCATTTACGCCTTTTTTATAGGGTTATAATGGTTTTGGTGCCATCCCTACTGAGAAGCAAACCCTGCAACCGCCTACTCTTTTCCATTCATTTTCACACCAAAAGGGGACACATCTCATAATCTATGCTTAAAAAATAAGTCTCAATTCTATAATTTAAACTTTTTAACTCGTAAGATCGGGTTATGAATTAAACATAGTCAAAATCGAGCTACCGAAATTTAGATAGTCAAATCTCTAAATACCCCATTTGAGATCGTCTAAGTTTGTGTGATATGTAGGAGTGTTCAAATAACTTGATAACCAGAAATCCAATTAACTCAACCTAATTGGATCATCTCTAGATGAGTTATGAACTTATTTGAATTGGGTTTTGTTTAAATAAATGAAAAATTGTTCAAATTGAGTTAAACCGAACAAACCTAATAATATGGGTTGTAATAGTGATGGAAGAAGATGGATTAGATTATGGTCTCTCAGCTCAAGGGGTCAATAAATAAAGAAGATTGTGATTCTGTCTTTTTATGAAAGAGTAGGCAAATTTATTCTCAACTCACCTAACTTCCTTTGAAGATTAATAACAGAAAGCCCACAATATTAAGGAGTAGTCAATAACATTACTCCCATTTCAAAGCTTCAATCTTTCAAGTTTGAAAAGGAAAAAGGGACTCCCAAAAAAATGGATGCTTACAAAAAGTTAGAAACTTCTCATTATAAACCCAAAGAAACAGAGAAGGTTTGCTCAACTTAGGCTTCCATTGTCAACCCTTCTTGCTCTCTTCAATGCTCAAACCAAAGCAAGTAACATCTTGCTCGTGGTGCATGTCGTGAACTCGAAAATGGAGGGTTGGGTTTTTTTCTGTCTGTTATTAAGTGGTCTAGTTCTCCCCACCCGAGCCATTGTTGGAGTCGGCGGCGGAGTTCGTTTTGGCTTTGGCGGTGGCGGAGGAGGTATTTGGGTTGGCGGAGGAGGAAACACTCCGACTCCGACTCCAAATCCATTGTTAGGGACTCAACTAAACAGAGCATACTCTGTTCTTCAGACATGGAAATCTGCCATTTCCGACGACCCCACCGGAATTTTAACCACATGGGTCGGCTCAGATGTATGTTCTTACCAAGGAATCTTCTGTACAAATCATAGTTCCGGCCAAATATCCGTCACCGGAATCGACCTCAACGGCAAGAATCTCAGAGGAAACCTCATCAAGGATCTGGCCTTTCTCACCGATCTGACGCTTATTCACTTAAACAGTAACAGATTTTCCGGTACGATACCGGTGAGTTTCCGGCAACTCCAATTTCTTCAAGAACTGGATCTCAGCAACAACAACTTCTCCGGCGAGTTCCCCGCCGTCACTCTCTACATTCCGAATCTCAAGTATTTAGATCTAAGATTCAACTCCTTCACCGGCCCAATCCCGGAAGAATTGTTCTTCAAGGAACTAGACGCCATTTTCATAAACGACAATCAATTCACCGGCGAAATCCCCCAAAACCTGGGGAATTCACCGGCGTCTGTGATAAATCTGGCGAATAATCACTTTGTCGGAGCAATTCCGGCGAGTTTTGGGTATATGGGTCCGAGATTGAAGGAAATTCTGTTCCTAAACAACCAATTAACCGGTTGTATTCCAGTAGGAGTTGGGTTTTTGACAGAAATTGAAGTCTTGGATTTCAGTTCCAACAAATTGTTCGGTCATCTTCCTGATACAATCTCTTGCATGAACCAAGTTGAGATTTTGAATCTAGCCCACAACGAGCTATCCGGCGTCGTTTCGGATTTGGTCTGTTCCTTGAGAAGCCTCGTGAATCTGTCCGTAGCGGATAATTTCTTCTCCGGCTTCAACCAGCAGTGTCGGAACCTGTTCGGTGGGTTGGATTTGTCGTTCAATTGCATTCCGGGGGTGGGTCTGCAGCGGCCGTCGCCGGAATGTTCTGTAATTCCGGGAATTGGGTTGAGTTGCCTCCGGGTTCCTGGACTTCCACGGCCGTTGGTTTGTGGGCGGCTCGTTGAAACGCCGGCGGCGGAAGCGGCGGCCCCGTGAGAACCATGGGTGGAACTGGCGGGTGGCAGCCGGTGGGTAGGTGATTAATTAATTGCAATAACTATACAGATTTTTGGGGTTTTTGTTTTTGGAAGGAATTGAATGTAAATCTTTTTCACATTTAATTCTTCATAGAAACAGTACTATCTGAGATTTTAATGGTGTAGATTTTTCAAAGGAACTTCACAATCAGATCCTTGATTTAATTACTCTAATGCTTTATCCACTCTTTGATTTTGGATATTAGGGTTCGGGTCCATTTGAATTGACTTTATAAGTATTAGTAAGGGTAGAATAAATATTTTTCGATAGATATTTATAGTAAAGTGATATGGTTTAGAATTTTTAAAGAGCTCTTAACAATGACCTAAAATGAAAGGGGTCTTCAAACCAACCCTTAGAGCTTGGAGGGACTTACAGACCATTCCCATAATTACAATTGATTCAATGGGATCCTTGCACTTATTCTAACATTAGCCGCCCATTACGTATTGTCATCCCAATTTTAGAACAAAACATGTATATTAAGAAATCCAACACATATATTGGAGAAAGGTTTCCAATATCCTTAATGTTTCGTTTCTCTCTCCAACTAATGTGGGATCTACCCGCCTGAGAATCCAGCATCCTCACTAACGACTCATTTTCAATGTTTTAAAATGGGTATATTAAGGAGAGGGTCTACTAAAGAGAAGTTAAGAAATGTTTCGATTCCCTTTCTAACGAAGGTGGGTATCAAGAGTATTTGTGTTGAGTGCAACATCTTACCTTGCATTACTTACTCAACTAGATTCATGCATGAACAAGTTAGTTGCTGAAGATATTGGAGCTGACCTTGAGCTATATTGGAATTGACAAACTTGATACCTTTTTAGAAATAAAAAACATGTCGGTGCTTAAAAAGATATTTTGATTTATAAGGGTATAAGTGGTCAAAGCCCACTTCTTAAATGGGCCTTACAAATGGGCTGAAATACTTGCTTCCATGATACGCAAACAAAAATAGTACATATTAAAGTTAGAAGGATTGTTTAGACCGAGCAAACCCCATTAAATTACTCGGCTAATCGAGCTAAATTTTTTCGATCGATCGAAAAGTTTGGTTAAATTTTTTTTAAAACGTTAACTAACACAATTGAAAACTAATACATCTTCGATAATAAATTAAAGACAATAACTAAGGAATGTAGTACATTGAATTTGGAAGCTTAAACGATCGTTTCGCAAGAGCAAACCCCATCAAATCACTCCACTGATCTCCCGAGTTTCCTTGGATAATGTAACCTTGTTTCACTAATTCGGCTCTCTTCTCAGATTTGTATACAGTAGCTTTCTTTCCTTCATCATAAGGTCCCCTAAGAGAACGAAAAGCAAAAAGTTTAATAAAACCATCCTCGTGATGATAAAAGATATTTTAAAATCACTCATACCTTAAGATAAGCTTCTCCCAACCAGAATAACCCGCTTGGAGAAGGTTTTGTTGCGTGACAACTCTTTGAGATTCACCTCGACCCGTTAACAGAAAAATCTTGAACCCAAGACTTTTTAGCTTTTTGTACAGTCTCAAACTCATTGGCAATGGAGGAGCCGAACCCGTGTTCACCCACTCGTTGAACGAAGTATCATTGAACGGTTTAGACCTACACAATTTCATACAAATAATTCGAGGCTTATTTTTAAAAATCTTATTATATTTAAATATTTATTAAATTACAAAAAGCATTTCAAATATTTCCTATATATTATTATTAGGAGACGAACAATATTAGGAGACAAACAGAGCACAGCCTAGCAGCCTTATTAATAGCTTTGGCACTCATAGAACCTATTTACAGACATACTCAAATAACCATGTGAATATACAGAGCCCATACCCCACAATATTTAAATATATTTTTTATTTATATAAAAACATGAAAACTTTATTAAAATAAATTATTAAATTATTTATGATCCTTTTAATATTTATATTTGCATTTTCTTATAAACTCCAAAATAAAAAAAACAATACTTTAAGTCTTCCTAATATCAAATTTCTTTTTTTTTTTCTTCTAATTTTAGTTTCCCATTTTAATTTTTTTTAATATTTTAATGTAATATTTGAGAAATTATGAGATATGATCGCCAAATATTTTTATATATATATATATTTTTTTTTTTTTTGAAGAAATTAACGATTTTTGTTTTTAATTTTTTAGCTTGAATTTAAAAATATTTCGGTGACCTTAAACTAAATATATTTTAAAAAAAATTAAATATGACCGAAAAAAACGCTGAATTTACCCGAATCCATTAGCTCTATAATACGGCAAATTGGAAAGCAGCGTTTCATCAACATCAAAAACCCAAGCGTCCCTCCCATGGTCCTTCCCGACTTTGACTGAATTAGCAAAGGTCAACGAGTAATTCGCCACGGCTCGCGAGTCCGACAGATAGCGGTGGCCGTTGAAGTACTCCCGGACGAACTCAATGCACGGCCGCGGAACAGTCTTCCACGATCCCGCGGCGTTCACTTCCACCGCGAATTTCCAGCTTTCGCATCTCGGGTCGCCCTCTGCCCGGACCACGTGCTCTCTCGGATATATTCTGATGGCTGCAGCGGCGGAGACGGCGGCGGTAACAAGAAGAAGAAGAAGAAGAAGAAGCAGAAGAGAGAGAATTGAAGTCGGAGAAGCCATGGCCGGAAACTCGATGAGCGGTAGATGGAGGAAGAGGGTGGATTTATAAAGATTAAAGAAGCTTTTGGAGCTCGTTTGAAGTCCAATTATTCAATCATTGTTCCCTTTACATTAATAATTGGATTTAAAAATTTACCGCTTTATAATGGTAAAAAGTCACCAACCAATTTAACCCAATAATTTCTTTATTTTCCAACGGTTACGATTTACCTGAATGCTCGGCTAATTTTAATATTTATATCAGTGGACAAGAATCTTTAATCTAATTTTATTTTTTGTATATAAATAATAATAATAATTAATTAATTTTTTTTTGAAATTGAAGAATATAAAATTTAAAGCTTTTAAAAAAAACAAAATAGTTAAAAATTCAAATTATATTTCTATTAATATATTTAAATTTAAGTTCTAAGGCAATAAAGAATATTTTAATTATTCAGGAAAATTTTAATTTTTGAATCACTTATGTGAACCTACACTGTGGAGTGGAGTAGAGGGCTATGCATCCTTCAACTGTCATATTTATTGATAAGGATAGAGAGTTGGCGAGCTATTATTGCCCAAAACTTAAGAAACGTAGTACATTGGATTTGGGAGCTTGAACGAACGTTTTGCTAGAGCAAACCCCATCAAATCACTCCACTGATCTCCAGAGCTACCTTGAATTCTGTAACCTTGTTTCACTAATTCATCCCGCTTCTCTGATTTGTATACTATAGCTTTCTTTCCTTCATCTTCACGTCCCCTAATTTCATGATAGAATAAAAAAAATGAAAATTTAATTAAATGAGTCTTTAAAAGATAATAATAACCCTAAATAAATTTTAGGTTAAGAATATGTTTTTTTTTTTTTTTTTTTTTTAATTTGGCTTGAGTTTAAACTCTACTTCTTGTAGAACATGTTTTTTTAGTTCAACAATATATGGAGTGTCCGTAAGAGATTCAAGACTCGAAAAGCTTGGAAATCATACCTGAGGATGAGTTTCTCCCAACCAGAATAGCCTGCATCAATGAGATTTTGTTCCGTGACAGCTCTTTGAAATTCAGCTCGTCCGGTTAAAATAAAAATCTTGAATCCAAGCTTTTTGACCCTTTTATAAAGTGTCAAACTGGCTGGTAATACAGGTGCCAATCCCTTATACACCCACTCGTTGAATGAAGTTTCGTTGTATGGCTCCGACCTGTTCCAATTAAAACTAATTGTAGCCATATTTTTAAAAAAGAATTAAAAGGTTTAAAATATTATTAAAAAATTTAAAAGTTGAGAATATTTTAAAATAAATTAGAAAGTTTATAATTTTTTTTAATTATTTAATTAGAATTTACCCGAATCCATTATCTTTATAATAGGGCAAATTTGAAAGCAATGTCTCATCGACATCGAAAACCCATGCGTCCATTCCGTCGCCGTCGGCAACGTTCACCGACAAAGCGAAGTTCTCCGAGTAAGACGCCACTGAGATGGAGTCGGAAAGATAGCGGCCGGTGTTGAAGTAGTCCTGAACAAAGCTAACGCACGGTCGGGGAATAGAACTCCATGATCCGGCGGCGTTGACTTCGACGGAGAACTTCCAGCTCTCGCATTCCGGGTCACTGTCGAGCCTGACCAAGTGTTCCCTCGGATACATTCTGATGACTTCGGCGGAGGAGACGACGGCGGCGAGAAGAAGAAGAGAGAGAATTGAGGTCGGGGAAGCCATGGCCGGAAAGTTGAGGACGGTGTTGCAGGAAGTGGGTGGATTTATAATGGAGATCGGACGATGGCAATTGTCTACCTACCTCACATTCATTGTTATCATATCTTTTCTTTTTCTTTTTAAAAATAAAAACCATTTTTAGCTCCAAAAATTCTTTGTTGAACGTTCATCATTTAAGATGATTGTTACTATAAATCTTCCTTGTTTTGGACAGTAGTCCAAAAATAACTCATTTATCACGTGACAATTATTTTGGGTAGATTTTTCTATAATTTAAATATATTAGGTAATTGAATTTTTTAATTAAAAAAGTCTTTCTAATTTTTTTTGAATTAAATAACAATAGTAGGTGGCCACGTATGCCTCAATAATCTATTTTAAAAAAATTAATTCATAAATTTTGAAATTGGCCTGTTTCCCACTTCTAAAATTGTAAATTTAATAAATTAGAGACTGAATTTATAATTTAATATTATAATTATTATATCATTGTTTTGATTTATTAATTAAAAAAAAGTAATTATTTATTATATCTTCCCTACCAACTGATCAAACTCGTGGGTCACACTTGACTGAATTATTGAGCCACGGTGAAATTAATTATTTAACTATTTTTTTCCCCTTTACTTTTTTTTCTACCATGTAGGACCCTTCTTTGATTAATTAAATTTTGTTAATGAACTAATTATTACCTTTTTTACTGATTACCTAATTCTTAATATTTGAATACTCAATTAACTAAACAGATAGTTATTTAAATTTTTTATTGATAATATTTGACTTTAGAGTTTAATAAAAGGAGATTAAATTATCATAATCAAAATTATAAAAATTGTATAAACAATTAACTGTGAAAAGGGGATAATTAGCCGTTAAACACGAGCCTGTCTGGTTGGGCCCAAAAGCTAGAAAAAGACTGAAGGTGGACTTAAAGACGTAAATGGGCTGGCCTAGTAATACGAGGCCCATGGTTTATAGCTCACGGCCCATAATGTTATTTATTTTCATTTGAATTTAAAATTAAAAAGGAAAAAAGAAAAAGGAACTACTCTCCTATTTGGAAGGGCCTAAAACCGGGTCTGTTGGAGTTCTGTGGTTCATCGGTCCTTTTGAATAGGAACTAAATAATTATGCGATTCAAAAAAAAAATAAAATTAATTAATTAATTCCCGCCTTTCTCTCCTGCCCTATTTATTTCCATTTTACTCCAACACAAGGCCAAAGAACGAACCGAGCCTCATCCTTTACCGGAAGAACTTCAAGAGAGCTCATAATCTGCGAAGAACAAACGCGATCACCGATCCAATTTCCATATCAAAATGTCGTGGCAAACATATGTCGATGACCATTTGATGTGCGACATTGATGGCCAAGGCCAGCACCTCACCGCCGCTGCCATTATTGGCCACGATGGCAGCGTCTGGGCTCAGAGTACTTCATTTCCTCAGGTTTGGATCTGATTTTGCAATTTTAGTATTCGTTTTCAACTCGTGGATTGGATACTTTAGCATCAGTGCAGTTTAGGGCGTTAATTCGTCATTTCGTATGTTGATTACACGCGTTTGTTTTTTTTTTTTTTTCTCATATGTATCGTGATATTTTATCGTATTAAGGAAAGATAGGTTTAGCCATTGGTTATGTGTAAATGCTGATTTGGTTGTATTGTCCGTTTATTCAACTGGTTGTCTATTGATTGATTTTTGGATGTTTCGTGGTACTGATCTGGTTGTTGCTCGACAGAGCTAGAGCCTAAATTTTGATGGAGAAGTAACTTAAGCTATTCAAGTCTTGTTCTCTCTCTGGTAATGGAAATTGTGTCACTAATAGGGTGGAAAATGGTTGAATCGTTGTCATAATTGTTTTTATCAATGTGTATTCTAATTTAAATCATTAAATGTTGATTCCAAAAGGATTCTGATTCATTCCTCTTGTCGTTGAGTTCATTTATGCGATGGATTAATGGTTCTGATTCATGTGTAATAACTAAACGTTGATTCCCAGAGGATTCTAGTTGAGTTTCTCATCACGGATTCTTAATTGTAGTGCAAGCCTGAGGAGATCACTGGTATCATGAAGGATTTTGATGAACCTGGTTATCTTGCACCTACTGGATTACACCTTGCAGGTACAAAGTACATGGTTATCCAAGGCGAGCCTGGAGCAGTCATCCGTGGAAAGAAGGTAATACCATTACATAACTCAATAACATAATAAGATCTTTTGTCAACTAAGTTCCAAGAGGGGTCGTAGTCATGTAATAATAACTCTTAGACACCGAATTTTGAAATGTTCAGTAAAACTATCCATTGATCTTGGAAATTTATTGCTTAATCTTATTTTCTTGAGGCTAGAGGTTCAAATTCTCATAAATTATGATTTCACATTTATATCAAATGGTACGAGTTTAGCATAGTTTTTTTGTTTGTACACATCATATATTAAATGATAACTATTATAATTGTATTGTGAGATTGATAGCTATATTGTGTTAAACATGGTTGAGTATATCAATCTATCGATTAAAGTCCGTTAAATTCCTGTTGTGTTGGATTGTTGTGACAGGGGTCTGGAGGAATTACCATAAAGAAGACTGGGCAGGCTCTAGTTTTTGGCATTTATGAAGAACCTGTTACTCCAGGACAGTGCAACATGGTCGTTGAGAGGCTTGGTGATTACCTCGTCGATCAGGGTCTGTAGGCTTTCTCAGTATCGAATTTTGGCCTACAATTATTCATTTTCCTTATTCCATTTTGTGTTTGTTTGGCTCAAAGTTTGCATATGCTTCATTCTTGAGCCTCAGAATTGGCTGAGAAGTTAATGCAGACAATAACCTCCTCAAAGATATTATTAACAGTTGTTTGGAGCTTGGCTTTTGATTAATTTTTATAAAATATCTTAATATGTTTTGGGTATTCAATCTTCTTTTCTCAATCATTTCTCTAATTTATTCCTTTAATTAATATCCTAACCTTTGGAGATTGTTTGCATTCAAGTAAATTGCATACAGGTGATATGGTCTATGCTCTTGATTTGACAGGTCAGAAAATGAAATGCTTTGATTATCATTATTATTATTATTAATTATCTTGACTCATGAGATAAAGATTAAATCTCTATCTTAAAACAGTGCCCTTATAAAATATTTTAGATTATTGAAGGATTTTGGGCATGGAAATGACCAAATTGTCCCAACTCTATCTCATTTAGTTAATTTATAGTAGGTATGAATATATTAAAATTTAGGGTTAAATTTGTAATTTAACTTACCTAAGATCTTATTGGCAAGTCCCTCAACAAATTCCTATTTATGAAACGAGGCCCTCATAGTAGAGATTCCTTGCTTTTGAAAAAGGTTTCTTTTGAATGGTCTGTTGCTTTAATTTAAGGTGTCTCTCTTTTTTTCTTTTCTTTTTTATTTGGACCAAATAATTTCTGGAAAGCAGCATCGCAATCTACAAAAGAATATCCTTGCAAAATTTAAAATTTCCTTCATAGAAAATGATGGGTTGCAAATTACAGCCCATTAATTTTATATTCAAATCCCATTAAATTTTGATATTAATTACTTTTCATTATTTAATTTATATTTAACATAATATTAGAATCATATATTCGGATACGACATGCGAAATTGAGCTGGCTTGAATATTATCAACGATTTTAAAATTAAGAAAAGAATTTTAGAGAGAGAGAGAGATAAGAGGAACAAGCATCATGGGCCTTGAAGGCCCACAAAATACAATTTGGAAGAAAAAGAAAAAGAAAAGAGAGGGGTATTTAGGTAATTTTGGAATGTGATGTCGCAATTATTTTGGGAAAAATAATTATAACTGCGTGACATCAACGCTATCTCGGGCGAAACCGCGCTGTAAGAAGAGCAGAGAGGATTATTTGGTGGAGCTCATTTCGTCAGTGGACATAAATTGAATCTTCTCTCGATCGATTTAGTGTAGAAAAGAGTGAAGGAGAAAAAACCCTAAACAGATTGAACCAGAAGCAGGAGGAAGAAGATCAAGCGGGGAAAGATGTCGTGGCAAGTTTACGTCGACGATCATTTGATGTGCGATATTGAGGGCAATCACCTCACATCTGCAGCCATTATCGGCCATGACGGCAGCGTTTGGGCCCAAAGCGAAACTTTCCCCAAGGTTTACTCTCTTTCTCTCTCTTTCTAATCTTTTACAGGGAATATGAAATCCGAGTATTGATTTGATTGACTGCTTGTAATCGATGGTTGGATCTGTCTGGATTTTTAATCCAAGATCTCGTGGTTCAGAGCATGATGAATATGATGGATTTTTTTCAATCGTGGCTGATTTGATCTGATTGTTGTATGTCGATGCATGGCTTCGGTAGTCTCAAGTTTTAAATCGGTTGTTCGATGTAATTCTATGCAGTTTCGTTAGATGTGATTGAAATTAGAATCTGTTGTTGTTTCCATTTTGTTTATGACGATTTGATGTAGCGATTGTACGAGGCAGTAAAGATCTGGAGTTTTCTATTACCGTCATCTAGGCTTCTAGATTTACTTCGGAGCATTTCGATTTTATTCTCAATTATTTTTGTATTAGTTACGAAATGGTCAAGATGCTGTGCTGATTTCTCTTTAGACCGTCTTGATGATCGATTTCATATTGTGTATTTGATGGAATTCTTAGAAGAAGTCAAGGATGTTTGTCCATTTAACTTTCCTGGTTTCCTGTCCACTTTATGAGGTCCTCAATGCATGTTCCTACTTTTGTGGTTTGTAGTTCAAGCCTGAAGAAATTGCTGCTATCATGAATGACTTCAATGAGCCCGGGACGCTTGCTCCAACTGGTTTGTATCTTGGTGGCTCAAAGTATATGGTAATCCAAGGGGAGCCTGGAGCTGTTATTCGTGGGAAGAAGGTAATAAAAAATTTAATGAAAATGTTCTAAAATGAATTCCGAGTTCTGACCTTGAGAGATGATGGGCATGCAAGCAATTTATTCTGAAAGTCTTCTAAAATTAACTTTATAAGTTGCAATGAATATGAGAACCTTCATCCTAGATTAGTTTTCTAATTGGTCAGTGTTAAAAGTTTCTAAATTCATTATGTATTGGATTCTGCAGCAAAATTTGTTATCATGTTTACACTGCTTGGTGGATATACCTTTGATCTGGCAATTAGATTCTCCTTTCCATTGAATTTTAAACCAATATATCTCTTGATTTTAGGGCCCAGGTGGGGTTACTGTTAAGAAGACTGGTCTGGCTCTAGTCATTGGCATCTATGATGAACCAATGACTCCTGGTCAGTGCAATATGATCGTTGAAAGGCTTGGGGATTATCTCGTCGACCAGGGTCTTTAAATATCGGTATGCTTGCTTGCTACCTTTGTACGCGATCGATCCTATTTCTTTTCAGCATCCATATTTCTCTTATTGCTGATACAATCTTTTGGATTGTTAATTGCTGCAGGTCTATTGTGTACAAGTCTATGGACTCTTGAATGAGTGGAAATGGGTTTGATTGATGCTTGAGGAGTGATGCTTATGTTTCTCGTTTTTAGTGTTTGTCTCTTTCACTTTTTTGTTTGAAATATTGTGGTGGTTTTCAAGTGAGGTCCATTGTAGTAGCATCAAATATGGATATGGTAAACCATTCAGCATAAATTTATAATTACTCTTTTATTTTATCTGTGTTGATTTTTGCAGCAGGCTCCTGTATAACACGAGGAGATATAATTTCTCTCAAACCCAAATGTGGGCTGGTGGGACATTTCATTCAATCTCGCCGCATATAAATTTCTTTACTCTTCTTCCCAATTACTTTTGCAGTTCTTGGTTTGGTTGCTTTTCAGTCTCTAGCAGATTATGCTAAAGAGTTGGTATGTTGTTTCATTAATGGTTTGGAATAATTGCTGGCTTGATGCCAGCCATGGTGACTCCATGAATCTTACCTACGGCCTGTTAGTAGTATAGGGTAGGGTGGTTAGCAAACTATACCAGATGGTTGAGAATAGCAAAATATTCACTATCACAAACCCACCACAGCCACAGGTAGGTGGTAGGTAGCTACCAACCAAGAACTGTGGAGGTTTTAATTGTTCACATCAACCAGCAGGTGGTGCTATTGTGGATGGACTAATGGCATTCTTAGGTCCGAAAGTGGTGCCCAAGAATGAATGATTTTTCTTTGTTCAATGAAGGACTTTTAGGAAGGGGGATTTTATAGTTCGAGCATGCAAGGATGATTTTCATTAGGAATGATTTGTCTTTGGTGTTGCATTACTTCACGTTGCCTGTAGATAATCATTTGTTATAAGGTCCAAATAGATCGTTATGGCTGGTTGATGGGTACTTACCATACTTTTGGAGTCTGGGGTCCTAGGTCTTGTATCCACCAAGAACATATGAAAAAACTCTTGTTGGAAATGATCGACTCAAATAGATTATTAGCATCCCGGATATCTATTGAGCTACTAAGCTAAAATTAATTTCATTTAAATAATGATTTTGGGAAATGCAATGCAATGAATCAATTTACTTTTAAAATAAAATAAAACAAATTAAGATTAGAAGATTATCCTAAAAGGACAACTATTCTTTGTTTACCATGGAACTATTTACAAGGAAGCTAAGGTGTAAATTACAACAGGCTATTTATTTTATTTGTTTTAGAATTGGAAATATTATTAAACTTATTAAAATAATACAAAGAAATTTATAATCAATTTCTGTCTGCCAATGACATTACCTTCCAAATTTAACGCTTATTTTTTTATTTTTGCTAAATAGAAAACCTTTTAAATACCAACAAAAATTAAAAAAATTAATTCAGAGATATATTTGAAATTAACAACTAATATCTAATTGAGATTATTAATCGATTGAAAGTTTTGTTTTGTTAAAAGCATCGAAAGCTCTCTATTGGAAGTCGGTTCGATTGAAAACCCCTAGACAGAACGGTTCGGTTCGGATGGTTTGACAGAAAAGCTAATCGAACCGATTTATATCTCGTAACGTCTATATATTTACGCGCTCCTCCTCGTTTTGAATGTATTTTATTCCTTCTCATTTTGATGAAGCAGATCGTCGCTTTCCTTACAGTCACAGAGAAAAGGGGAAAAACCTCAATCACAGTTCTCCGCTCACTGTCTTCTTCCAATCTCCTCTCTTGCTCTTATTGATGCCTTAGGAGTTTGATAAAGAAAATATTCGGTGAAAGATGAAGATCAAGACGCCATTGAAGCATCTCAAGCTCTCTGTGCCTGTTCAAGAAACTACCATCCGTTCTTTCCTGTATGTTAAGCTTATTTTTCTATTGCTTTCGATTTAATGTTGATCACCTTTTCTTTTACAGTGTTTGTTTCGTTTCATTTCCTAATAGCTACTCTCGATATGATTCTGTGTAAATGTATGTTATCCTTTGTTTTTCAATGGAGGGCCGACTGAGTTGTTTTCTTAGTTTCTTGGAAATGAATGATACGGAGAAGAAATTGTTATTTGGAAGTTTGGTGAACTTATCTCTTGTTGACTGAATAAATTCAAAATGACTGGCTTCATTGATGTACTTTCCATTTCAAGTATTTCAATTTCAGGAAGGATGTAGAGCATGATCTGTTCGATTTATTATTATTTTTCCCTATTTTCGTTTAACCTTCTAGTGTTAAAAAAAATCCAATGCTCGCGTTTCTGGTTTTGTTAAACTTCAGAACTGCGAGTGGAACATTTCACGACGGCAATCTACTACTGAACCATAAAGGATTGCGGCTTATATCTGAAGAGAAAGAAGCACAGGCAAGCTTGTTTTACTTCAAACATCCTAATTTGAAATGTTTAACTTAACGTATATCAAGTTGCTATCTGAATCCGAAAAACTGGCCTAACCTAGCTATCTTTGTGGTTTATATTCAATTTAGATGCATGATTCACCGTAAGAAGTGGCCTAACCTAGCGATCTTAATGTATGTGCAGCCATAACACTTTTCTTTCATATTTTGTTTGAACAGATTTCAGATTGTAAGGAACTTGATGTCGATTTCTCATTGGAAGATCTTGAAACTGTGAATGTTATCGGGAAAGGAAGTGGTGGTGTAGTGCAACTTGTTCGACACAAGTGGGTTGGAAAACTTTTTGCCTTAAAGGTTGTTATATTGGTGACAATTCTACACTCTTGCATCCGTCTTTGGTCATTGTACCTTTGCTTTAAGTTATTCATACATTTTGTTCTTTCATTATATCATGGCTTTCTATAAGTTGAAGAAGCTGCTGCTGCTGCAAGCTAGCAGTTTCTGATCTTTACATCTTGTTCTTTCATTTTATTATGGCTTTCTATTTTTTAAGCTAGTAAATTGCTATTGCATTCATTTTTCTGCGATAATGAATTCAAAGTCCCTCGAGGTTGGTCTTGGTTTACAATTTAATTTTTTGAAGTCGAGAGTTCTACCTAAAATTTTGATAACGACGAGGTTAAAGCAAGATCTTCCAATGGCTCAGTGGTGACTGGTGAGAGTAATTTGTATAACTATTCATTGTTATGATTATTTCTTCATGTTGATTCATGATTTTATTTGTTTAATGTCTTCTTTAAGCTACAAATGAACTACGCTTATGCCATCCGGTTTGGAAGTTGAAGCCCTGGTAACTTTTCGGTTTCGGTTATCTTAGATCTATATATATATATGTTTTTTTATCCAAACTCCCAAGACGTAAGAATTTCATTTTGCTTAGGTCGTACTATGCTTTAGTGATCACTGTTACTAACGTTTTGTCCTCATCAAAATCTGCTATTATTTGTGCTATTTTGGCTTTTGCATACACTCAAATAATCTCGAGTACGAATTCTATAACTCTGCTGGAAAATATTTCATGCCATATTATTCAGGTGATCCAGATGAACATACAAGAGGATATCCGTAAACAGATCGTGCAGGAACTGAAAATAAATCAAGCAGCACAATGTCCACAAATAGTGGTCTGTTACCATTCTTTCTACCATAATGGTGCCATTTCTCTGGTGCTAGAATACATGGATCGTGGTTCTTTAGCCGACATAGTCAGACAAGTCCAAACAATTCTGGAACCATATCTTGCAGTTGTTTGTAAACAGGTCTCAGGATTTTGCTATTAAAATCAAAAGCTGAATGAAAAGGTCAACTTTGTACTCATAGTCACCCACTCCTATTATATTACAGGTTCTACAAGGTCTTGTTTATTTGCATCATGAGAGACATGTTATACACAGAGACATCAAGCCATCCAATCTACTCTTGAACCATAAAGGGGAGGTCAAAATCACTGATTTTGGAGTAAGTGCAATGCTAGCTAGTTCTATGGGTCAGAGAGACACATTTGTGGGAACTTACAATTACATGTCGGTATGTATAGTTCTTTGAATGGATGATTTTTTTATGCACCGTGTTTTGTTTATGACATTGGTTTTTACTTTCCCCAGCCTGAGCGAATTAGCGGCGGAACATATGACTACAGCAGTGATATATGGAGCTTGGGCATGGTTGTACTTGAATGTGCCATTGGAAGGTTTCCTTATTTGCAGTCTGAAGAGCAGCAAAGTTGGCCAAGCTTTTATGAACTGCTTGAGGCAATTGTAGCAAAGCCGCCGCCTTCTGCTCCACCGGATCAATTCTCCCCCGAGTTCTGTTCCTTCGTATCCGCTTGGTAAGCCGCCGCCGCCGCCTTATGCTCATGCTCATTAAAATTTTATCCTGGTCCAATTCTAGTTTTGACATTTCATTTTCATTACAATTGGCAGCATTAAAAAGGACCCTAAAGAAAGATCAGCATCATTAGATCTTCTGGTTTGTAACCGTTCAACCATTTCTTGAATAATTTATTACTGGCAATCACAGTCTCCTTAAACAGTTCTCTTTGTACTTCTAGAATCATCCTTTCATCAAGAAATTCGACGATAAAGACATCGATCTTGGGATTCTCGTAGGCAGCTTGGATCCTCCTGTAAGTTTTCCTAGATAATAATCATAATGTTTACTGTAATATTTTAGAAAAATTTACAATCCGTTTACTTTGTGCAATATGGACTTTGCCTCGTGTATGAATTCATAGTTGGTAAAGGAATACATCTCCATTGGTACGAGGCTTTTTGGGAAAACCAAAAGCAAAACCACGAGAGCTTATACTCTAAGTGGACAATATTATACCATTGTGGAGAGTCGTGATTCTTAATATGGTATTAGAATCATGCCCTAAACTTAGTCATGTCAATAGAATTCTCAAATATCGAACAAAGATTTGTGAGGCTCGAAGGTGTAGTAAAAAATGACCAAAGTGTTGAACAAATGACGTACTTTGTTGGAGGACTCTAGAGAAAAGACTCGAGCCTTGAGAGCTCCATAAGTCTCAGGGGAGGCTTATAGTGTATTTTGTTCGAGGGGGGATTGTTGTGAGTGAGTCTCACCTTGGCTAATTTAGGGAATGATTATACGTTTATAAGTAAATGAATATATCTCTATTGGTATGAACCTTTTGAGGAAGTCCGAAGTAGAACCACGAGAGCTTATGCTCAAAGTAGACAATATCGTACCATTGTAGAGATTCACTCGCGATTCCTAATAGAAACATCAAACGTTATAGGTTGTCAAATCATTGATTTGGCATTGTGAAAATCTCAATCAAGCAACATGCTTATAAGATTTCATGACTAATTGTGTGTTGTCG